TGATGCCTCCATATGGCTTAGGTGTGGTGCTACTACAATATCATGATGGTATACTCTCCTTCCCTGTATGCTTCTAAGCCGGAAAACTCTTCCCGCAGAAAGAAACGAGATACTCCACCATAGGAAAAGGAAGAATGTTCGGCCTTTGTGTGGGGTATCTCCAAGCTTAAATTTTATTTGTGAGAGAAGATTCATTTTAAAAACGGGACCACAACCTTTGATATACTAAAAATTTTAAGGAAACCATAAACAGTCGCCTCTTCGCAGGTGGACATTGGCACTCCAAGCTTTTGAGTTCCATATTGTGTATATCAGTGGTTCATCCAATTATTTCTCTGACTGGTTTAAGTCGTGACAGTCAGTGAAGTAGAAGATTTGTTGCCTTAGGCGGTTCCACATATTAGAACTTTTTCTCGCTATTCTTCTTATTACTCCCCTTGACTATATGTCTTGGTAAGGGGGGAGTGAGGGGAAAAAAAGTTCAATAGATAGGAGTAGCGTAGAGGGAGTGTTATAGTAAACAAAAGTTTCATTGCCGGCTACTTGTTAGGATAGGGTAAGTCAGCTCCCGCTATTCCCCCCCCTTTTTCCCCCTCCCCGTTGAAAGTGATAGTTTGATTGCCGGCTGCTTGTTAAGGTTAGGGTCAGTCTAGCTCCCGCTAATCCCTTCCTCTCCCGCTTCCCCACCCCGAAGGGTGACGAGTGGGGGTCCGGTTCAAACAGTAAATCACTCGACTCAACAGCTCCCAAACACTACTGTAAGTATCGATCTGATCATTTTAGTGGAACGTATTGTTTGAAAGCCTCACTTTTGACATAATTAACTTACGGCCTTTCAGTCTTTCTATCTATTAATGTTTTAATAATCACCGCAATCTTTTAGGTATTGTACTTATCATTGGAGAGAGAGTGATTTCTTAAGCAGTGGGTAATCTGTCTCTTTTACAGTTGGATACGAGAGGGTCTTTGCCAACCAACGGGAAGAAAGAAGGGGAGAGGGACAACGTCCTGAGATTTCCTATGTTTAGTTCTTTCCTGTTATGTAACCCAACACAGGACCAAACCCCCTCATCTAGCAGTGGTTTAACGAACCTGTTTTCCTGTCATCTGAAGTAAATTCACAGGGTTACTTGTGAAGAACGAGCCAGTTGTGGTCACAACACCCGCTACACCCCCCCCCCCCACATCAGCAAAAGGTACGATTTCAACAAAATCAGTGCACCAAAAACCCGACACCCCATTCCCCCGATTTACCTATATTAGCGTGATTCAAATGTAATTTTTTTTTATTTCATTTTTCTTTTTCTTTTAATTAGGTACCCATTCTGTTTTTAAGTTTTACATTTTCCATTTCTAAATAAAAAAAGTCTTTATATTGTCTGTTATTTTTTCTTTTTTATTCATTAATTTTCGGGGGAGGAGCCGCCTTTGGTAATGCGACTGAAGTTGTTCAGGGCTGAGTAAGCCTTTAAGCATGAAAAATGCCCCCAGACCCAACCACCCTCACCCCCCCCCCCTCCTTTCCCACGAAATGCTGGACTCCCTCACGCCAATGCCGCCCCCCCCTTTAGCCTCACTGAACACTCACAAAAAAAGCGATAACCTTCAACTCAACTGTCCATACTTATGTTTCATTCCAGAATGAAAACACACATTACATTTAAACGCCTCCCAAAAAAAACTCTTACCCAAACAGCTTTACTTCAGCCTTAAGACCATTTACATTAAGAGTTAAACATTTGAATGCTTCAAAAAAGGGGGCTTTACCATATGCCTCTGGGTCTTACCCAGTCCACTTTTCAATATACTCGAGCCATCTCATGCACTTTTCCCCTCCTGACCCCCCTCCCTTGCGCACTCCTCAACCCCATCCTAGCCAAATCCCCTGAGTACTTCTTACCAGTCTGCTGGGCGAGAGTGAGGACCTCATCATCCGATGACCCATCCCCCCCCAGCCCTTTTTCATGACTCGCTCCCAAGCTCCATCTCGACATTCCCACCAGGCTCGTGGACCTCAGCCTCCACCCGTTGGACTTGCAAAACACCATTCCCCAAACCCAACAGCCCCAGTTCATGCGCCAGATCCACAGAACCAAGCTGGGAATCCTTCCCCACAGTGGATAAAACCTCCGCCGGCTCATCCAGTAAAGTATTGAGCATTTCCTGCAGGGGGAGTTCCAAGGTCTCCGAGAGTTCACAAGTCATCCCCTGCACCAATGCCTCTGTCTCAGGTCCAAGCCGCCCCCCCAAAGGGCTCGTCCGACACCTCCGACAGAGTCACACAACGTTCCTCCACCCCCCTCAGCCTCATCCGCCCAAGTCATCCGTCCGGCTCCTGCCACAGGTGCCGATGAAGAACACTCCCAAGGTGCCAACATCACCATCGTTGCCAAGTCCTTCGAATGCTGTGGAGCCACCTTTCCACACCCTGCCGCCATGTGATCAAAAACTCCACACAAATGACATGTTCTCCGTTGACCTGCATATGTCACGTACACCTGCGTCCTGAACTCTTCGAGAACGGCGTAAGAGGGAGTGGGCCTCCTCAGCATCATTTTTAAGGTGAAAGAACCTTCAGGCAATCCTGCATAGAGTCCTTCCTTCCACCTACTCAATGTAGCCGCATGCACCTCTCCATAACTCCTGAATGCCTCACTAACGTGCATGGTTTTCGCTTCAAAGGGGACGTTATGGATTCATACCCAAATGTAGGTCCGGGAAGCATCTCTCAAATGTACCTCCAGCTCCGAATTCAAAGTAAGGCACTTCTCCTGATATAAGGCCACCGTCCGTTCGTACGCAGCCACAGTACAAAACTTTATGAAGATCCTCGTCGTTCCATTCCAAGCTATTCCGTGCAGCTCGTCGTTGCCAATACCATAAGCGTCTCTGATGATCACTGGCAGCATTGCAGAAGCCGTTTCCGGGTAAATCGTACCCTTTACGGTGTCAACACACACCGTATTGCTGCGTCTTCTGCCGCCAGTAGCCATCTTGGAGAAAACAGGAAACTGCGCAGCAAGGCCAGCACAAACAGGAGCGTCTGCGCAGCACAACTTTCCTGCCCTAGAGCAAAGAGGTCAATGACCTAAATTCTGCATAAACTAATTATGCTCTGGTCCAGTTATTCAACAGTAACTCTTATTATCCATATCATATTAACATTTATGTTGTTGCTCTCACTGTCATCAGTTGATCTAGACATATATTATAGCCACTAAAAATATTACAACAAATTGTCTGGTAAAAAAAAATCCGAAAAGTCATAGTCATAAACCAAAATTCTTAGAGTTAACGTCAAAGAATGAAAAAATAGCTTTCTTATAAACAAACTTAAATGTATATACGTCCAGTATTTGTACGTTAATTATAACTTGGAGTTTTATATACAGTATACCATGTTATCAGCTAATCCTAAATCAAGTGTACATTGATTTTTTAATATAAAGATTATCACATTTATTATTATTGCTATTTTTTTTGCATTTTATAAAGTTGCCATTATAAATCAGTAATATTTTTGATGTACAACAATTTTTTAAGGATTACGAGAGAAAACACAATATACCATACAACTGTTTTGCAAAGTTTTACGGTTTGAAAGGTAAATATCTTGTTTGAGCTGCTTCTCGTTTAGCTTGGTTTCACCTAACAACCGATAAAGGCAATCAACAAAGACCATCAAGCAATCAGTGTTAATGATTTATAGATGATAATGACTGATATGGAGTTAGAAGATTTATATTCTTTCATAAAATTTTTTAACTGATTTCTCGGCACACACCACAACATTATCAACAAGACGAGGGTGATCATCAGCAGCACAGTAGTAATACTGATGACTGGGATGTATTCAGAGTAGTCACATTATCTCACTCAAATTAGATTTCCTCCATTCTTATCTGTATTTTTTCTAAACAGCTTTAAGTAATACAAATGGTTGTCATGGAGAAAGATTTCGTCATATTGCGGTAATGAAAAAATACACCAAAGGAAAATGACGTACCGCAACGCTTCATAATAATGAAAATACCATAAACGTCGTGAATAACACACATACGCAACACTTATGAACTTTTATTGCTGAAACGTTTCGCCTTCATGACAAAGTTATTTAGTCAAATACAGAAGCAACTGATGACTTGCAAAAATCAATTTCAACCTTCAGCTGTCCTCATCTGGTAGCTCATATGAGACATGCAAATTTCACTTTCATAAAAATAATTTTTGATCTAATTGCAGAGAATTTAAGAGGGATATAGCATAAAAAAATGAGAAATATGGAAAATTCATATTGATAAGGCATTTTATATTTTCACTAGTTTAATAAGGTTTTAAATATCATTTTCCTAGAACTTTATTGCAGAACCTCGACTTTAATGAGATACATTGTTATTTTCTTCCTCCTGATGTAGCAAAACGAAGATGCTGTAATTTTGTACATGGATTTTAAAGATACTATATCTAATTGAAAATAATACGGTATTTTTTGTTAAATACCGAACGGCTTCAGTGTTTCACGTTTGATGCCTATGATAAGAAAATCAAATTTTATTTTTTTTTAACGTAGTAAAAACACTTAGAATTATTTGGTTCCGTGCGATAATTGAAAGATAAATTTTCTCAGCAAGTTTTAAACATTTAGCACATGTGTGTTTTATCAACCAAACCTTTGCACTGATTATGGGTTACTTCGGCTTATTTTTTTTTTAATTTAACAAATTTATTTCTTCTAATTGACTTCGGACCCTAAACTCTGGTGATTCTTAGTTTCAGAAAGTTTTGAAATGATTTTGGGCTGTGTAGTTGCCACTTTGCCAGTTCTGTTGAAGAAATTAAGAAATTTTAATTACACATAGTGTTAGCAGGAGTTTCATTACGTAAACACAAAACGTTATTTCACTCTTAATGTTTTATTAAACTCTGACTCGAGAACAACATTAAACGAGCAAGATTAGTTGCCTGTTGACTGTCATTAATGTGCGGTGTTTCTCCGCCAGAGGCTACTTGGTTACCTTCAAACTGTCGCCCAACTTGAGGAGGCCTCATAAGGAGGCCAAGGGAGCTGATGAGCAGAAGTTGAGGGAGATCGAACTGGCCAAGATGGAGAGAATCATCACCACAGCTAAAATCTCAGCCAAAACGCATTTCCATTGAGTTTCCTTCCGTCATTTTATCTTGTTACTAAAATTTCTACAAACTGTTCCTTTCTCATGTTGCAAGGGTTTCCACAACTATCACCTACTCTTGTTACAACAATGTCCACAATAATCACCTATGTTTGTTACAAGAGGTTTCACATCTCTTATTCACTCTTGCTACAACAGTTTCCACAGTTGTTGCTCTTGTTGCAAGTTCTAACAACTGTTACTTATTTCTGTTACAACAGTTTCCATAACAATCAGTCCTGTTACAACAGTTACTATATCAGTCATTCCTGTTACAACAGTTACTATATCAGTCATTCCTGTTACAACAGTTATCACAACTGTAAGTTACTTTTGTTTAATTTTTTTACAATATCCATTCACAACTATTATAACAGTTTTCACAATTGTTACTCCTGTTTCAACAGTTTTCAGTCGTCACATAACAATTTCAATTAGTTATGTGTCACATGTGTGAGTCCAGATTATAATTCTTATTAGCTCAGTCAACTTGACTGTCCAGATGTTCATGACTGTCGGTAGAGTTAACCAGACTGAACAAATATTAATGACTGTTAGTACAATTATCTACTGTGTTCTGTTGTTCATGATTGTCAGTAGTTAACTTGTCGTATGACTGCGAGAACAGTCAGCTAGTTAGTTCCGGTGCTGTAACCAATGTTCAGATCAGTTGAAATGTTGCCAACCATTATCTCTGCCGATTTATTATTGCTTATGTATTGGAAGATAGAAGATTTAAAAGAGAGGTAACACGTTAATAGCTGTTAACTAGCTCCAGATTAAATAATACGCAGGACCTGTAGAGAAATTTTCTCCAGGAGGGGGATATCAGCCCCTTCATCCCCTTTCAGCCCTTTTCAGCCCTGAGGGGCCCAGCCCTCTAGAAGGGGAGATTGTGGAAAAATT